CACACCCACACTCAGCGGTCTCTGAATGTCCTGTGGGTGAGGGAGGGGGCTGGGCCTGGGATTGGGCATGGGGATCTGCAACAAGAGCTGTCAGCACATTCTCTTCCAAGAGACAGACCAGGTCCTTCCACTTGCTGTGCATCTTTGGATACGCTGTTTCTTCTGGGCCCCAGGTCTCCATCTATTAGAAAGGCCAGACTTAAGACCCTGCACCTGAGAGAAGAGCTATGGTGCCACTAATCCTCAGCTCTGAGCCCTGGCACCCACTGCTCTCTGCTCCAGGGTCAGCGCGAACGTGGCAAAGAGCGAACACCCTGTTTACCCTAAGGAGATGGGAGAGTTTAAAGGACTTCTAAGATCTCACTTTTGGTGCAAGTACAAAAAAAAATTAAAAGAACAGAATTCCCAAACCACATGAATCAAATTTTCTCCAAAACAGACAGAGCTTTCCTAAGTGACAAAAGCTGTGCTCAGGAGAACCAGCCTTGAATGAGGGACAAGTCCACTGGGGGTGGGGGCAGAGGGAAGTCTCCCACTATCCAAGCCTGGCGTGGCTCTGCTGCAGCAGGGCTCCTGGCACCGCAGCTGGGCTCTGGCTCCCCTCCCGCCTGTTGCTTCATCCGGGCTCCTCTCTGCTACACAAGCTCAGCCTGGGGCAGTCCCCCCCTCCCCCTGCCTGCCGGCCTTGCCCCTACGTGCAGGCTCTCCACAGTGACCAGGACGGCCTCGNTTCCCTTCCTCCCCCTGCCTGCCGGCCTTGCCCCTACGTGCAGGCTCTCCACAGTGACCAGGACGGCCTCGCTGTCCTCCCATCCTTTCCCCACGCCTTCCCGAACTTTAGGCTCCATTTAACCAGAAACTGCCCCCTTTCCTGCCTTTACTGATACCTCATACATTCATCCGACAGTTAATGCGTGAGTATCTGCTATGGACTAGGCATAGAGCTGGGTGCTGGGGGACAGCCCTCCCCAGTCTAGTGTTAATGCCCCACCCCAGCTCCAGAGCCTGCCTTAGTGAATGAGCTCTCTCTGTGAATCACCAGAATTTGGCAATATATCTTATATGAGAGCATTACAGTAGCCAGTCCTCAACACTTCTTACCATTCATGCCCTTGTGAGCTCTCTTTCCACATTGAACTGCAGCTAATCTGTGTGACCAACAGATTGTGTGACCAACAGCTACTCTGCGTGACTTTTGAGGCTCAGCTTGTCTTGGCCTCTGGGATCAGTTACTCTGGGGGGAGTCAGTCACCACTTTATAAAGCTGTTCAAGCAGCCTGTGGAGAGGCCCACACTGAGGAACTGAGTCCTCCTTCCAATAACCAGCACCAGCCTGCCAGCCGTGGGAGCGAGAAAGCAGATCCCCCAGCCCCAGGCGAGCCTTCCGATGGCTGCAGCCCTGGACAACACCCTGAGAGCAACTTTATGAGACCTCAAGCCAGAAGCACCCAGGTTCTTGACCCCCAAAACAATAAAAAAAATGTTTATTTTAAGCCACTAAGCTCTGAGATAATTTATTACACAGAAACAGAGACCTAATATAAGCTAATGTAAGCATAATGTTCATTAGTGTTTATCATAATCTAAGCTTAATGGTTGAGAGCATGGGCTCTAGAGGAGTTAGTGTTTACATCCTGGNTTTATTTTAAGCCACTAAGTTCTGAGATAATTTATTACACAGAAACAGAGATCTAATATAAGCTAATGTAAGCGTAATGTTCATTAGTGTTTATCATAATCTAAACTTAATGGTTGAGAGCATGGGCTCTAGAGGAGTTAGTGTTTACATCCTGGCTTTACTGTTTTCCAGCTCTGTATTCTTAAGTTAGTCCTTTAATCAGCCAGTGCCTAGACCTTCTCACCCACAGAGTGGGGGTGTTAACTATCTAAATAAAGTCGTGCTTAACATCAATCCACGTGAAGTGCTCAGCACCGCGGCTGGCACCGTNATCTAAATAAAGTCGGGCTTAACATCAATCCACGTGAAGTGCTCAGCACCGCGGCTGGCACCGTGGCTGTAAACAACGGAGTAGCTCTTACCATTGTATGGCCTGTGTCCTGAGGTGTGTCTGTCTCTGCCAGCAGAGCAGCCCCCAGCCAGTGCCAGCCAGATGGACCAGAAGCAAACTGCTCTTCCAGCTCAGCCCAGCCCTTACCCACAGCTCCCTGCTCCAGATTCTCCCTGCGAACTGCACCTGCAAGAGGGATCTCAGTCCTGGAAAACTTGAGGCTCTCTCCATACTCAAGAGCAAACGAGGCTCCCCCAGCTCCCTCAGGAGTTGCTGGCAGGTGGCTGCAGGGCTCCCGGCCCTACTTAGGCTCTGGATGTCACTCACACGGGAAGAGGGGGCCACACCAGGACCCAGCTTGGACTGTGCAAGCAGAGTGTGGCCCCAGTTTTGAATATATACCAGGCGCCACCCCCACCAATGCCAGTCTGCTTCTCTGGGAGCAGGGAAGGCCCAAGGACACCAGCTCCCACACCCAATGCAATGGAACATAAGAGGGACCAGGTCAATCCTAGGTCCCCTCCAAGAGCACAACCAAGGTGTCTTCGGGCCAGAGCACCTATATTTGTCCCATCACAGGCCAACCCAAGTCACCTGCCCATAAGGAAGTCACAGATGTGCCTTGGAAACATTATAAAGTGGATTTTTTAGGAAGAAATTCTTCAGTGTAGCTGAAGTGTGACCAACTGACTTCTCTACCCTCCTCCTCAGCATCCATCCTTGGGGAGAGCTGGGAGCGGGTGAGGGTGTCCCCTGGTGAAGGAGCAGGAATCCAGCCATCAGGGGTGTGCAGGCCAGAGGAAGGGGACACGGACCCAGCACCACAGGACAAGAGTGGCTATGAACACAAGACACACATGTATACCTGGGCACAAAGAACTGTTTCAAACAGGAGCCAGTGTTCACATGCCCAGTGTCAGGAGCGGATGGGCACAGGCTGTCATTCCACATGCTTCAGCCGCAGGGACACCTGCAGCACCATGGGGTGAGCCTGCAGCTGGGGGTCAGGCTGGGGCACCAGGAGTCCAAGAAGGCAGGGCCTTGGCAGACTGTGCTGCACAACTGCCCTCAGCCTGCTGCTTCAAACGGTAGGGGGCCGGGGAAGGGAAGGCAGAGGGCAAAGAGGAAAAGGAGAGGCAGACTGGGTACATGCCAGCCCCTCGGGCAGCAGCTGGCTCTTCCCTGCTGTGTGAAGACTCCCCGAGAGGGGTGTAGGGGACGTGCTTAAGCATTCATGCCCGAGACCAGACAGACCTGGGTACGAATCCCAGCTCACTGTGTGAACCCAGGCATACTACCTAACCTCTCTGGGCCTGTTTCTTCATCTGTAGAATGGAGGTGACACCAGGGTCTATCCCTAAGAGTTATGGAGGTGATCTCTGTAAGGTGCCTGGTATATAGTAAATGCTCAACAAATGGAAGATGCAAGCATTTCTCCAAAGCATCAAATTAGTGCACCAACTCCAACCCCTGTAGTGAAATGATTTATTTACAAAACCTGTCTCTGGTCTCTGCATCCCTTAGTTGTTCAGGGGACCCTGCTCCCTTCGTCTAGGCTTGGGACAGGCTACAGCAAGACCGATGGGAAGGTGTGAGTGCTGGACCAGGCAGAATCCCCTTTGTGGAGCCACTTTGGGGGCTGCTGCTCCCCAAGTCTCACTGGGCAGGTTTTCCAGCTAGGAGAGCCAGGTGGAAGCAGCCCAGGGTGGTGGGGTCACTTCCTGGGGAGTGTGGCTGAACACAGGGACAGGCTGAGCTGCTTCCCTCTGTTCCCCGAGGAGAAACGCAAACCGCAGGCCTGCTGAGCCACACACCAACCAGCACAGGGTCTCCTTGTTGCTCAGCGGTGGACTGAGAGGAGATGGGAGAGCCTGCCAAGGACTGGGCTCCTCCTGCCAGCTCTGCAGGTTGTGGGCACTGAGGCAGGGGAGTAAAGGCCTGAAGGCTCTGGTCCCAGGGCAAACAGCTTCTCCCCAGCCACCTTGCCCTCAATGATCAGCAGGTGCTGGGGCTGACTGTGGTGGCTCTGGCTGCGCCAGGCTTGGGCAGCTCCCCGTGGGCTCCTGGCGCCCCAGTGGAGAGGCAGCAGGCCCCGGGCTGGCGTGCAGCCACTCCTCGGGGGTTCTGTTGTAAGGCACAAATCTTGAGTCACATAGGGCGTGGCCACTGAAGGTGGCAACACTGGAGAAAGGCGTGTCCAGGCCACTGTCATGGGAGTGCCCTGCTGAGACCAGCAGGATGGGGCAGCAGGCCGGTGAGGACCCAGAAACCAGGTCCGGGCCTGCTGGGGCAGCCTGAGTCGGAAGGAGACAAGATGGTTAGCCAGGCCCCCAGGTTCAGCCAGACCCAGGCCTGCCTGTGTCTGCAACACCACAGTGGCCTTAGGGGAGGGAGGCAGGGCCTGGGCCTGCTCCACACACTGGGGGATACTCCTCTGCATCACTCACCCTCCAGGGCCCCCGGCTG